CCCCCCAACTTCCTTGGCTCCAATACACCCATCCCACCCTCTAGCAGAGGGTGAAAAATCCCCAGACCAATCTCCCTCCCTTCCCTTTCCCTGCCCCCATCCTGAAAACAGCAACAGGCTGGCAGGCAGGCAGACTGAAGTTAAAGAAGATATCTGTTTTGAGATGTCTTCTTCTGGCCCCTCATGCAATGACGGGTCCGATTTTCACTCCGTTAGCCAGTTTTAAAGCTGTGTGCAACTGTGCACTTGTGTTTGATCATGGCTATAAACCACTTTCTGCAGCTAGACCAGGTAAATATTGTCACTTCTGTCTGTGCCCTGTTTTCCTTTGAGGCAGTTCTGATATTGAGGTAGTCAGTTTTTTAGTTTGTTCATAGTAGTCTTTCTCGAACAATTCTAAACTGAATTCAAGTAGAGAGGTACATTCTCGTGTAATTTCCATACACGAGAATGTGTGTATGGAAATTACACAAATACATAATTTCCATGTAGTTGTGGAATAAAAACATGGGTCTGGTACAACTCTGAATTTCTTTTTACAGCAATGTAATTTTATTTGATTTTGTGGATTTCCTCTTGATTCCCAATAATACAACTGGGAGGAGAATTGGGCCTCACATCACCAGAATTATTTTACTTGAATTTTAGGCAAAAATTGAAATAATTCATGGAGTGGATCTGCCAATGATCAATATAAATAGGTTTGTCTAAACAACCTGCCACCCTGTCTGTCTACCAGTGGTCCCTTGTGCTATTATATTGCAGAGCCAATTAAAATTATGTTGTGACTCTGTAGAGGGGTCAAAGTTGTGCAAGAGAGTTGTTTCTGCAGTTATAAGAATAGGTTAGGCAAACACTTGTATATAGTGGTTTAGTCAAGGATTATATTGCTTTGAGCTTGGACTAGATTACATCCGGAGGTCCCTTCTACCTCTATTTTTCTGACTCTATGTTTCTAAATATAGGTAAGCCACTTCCTCCAATCTGAGTTGAAGCAGGGTTGGACAGGGCAGGGTTGGATGGCTTTATCTATTGTTATTGAAATCGTGAGAGGTAGGGTGGGGTGGAGGGAGACCTTCAAGTAAATTTTGCCACAGTTGACTTTCCAGCATGGTAAATTTGGAGAAATAGTCCAAGAAGTGTTTGAACTTTTGTATCCGTAATACAATATTAATATTTTTCTATGTATTGCATGATTTTTGCCATTTTCTGTCTGTTTCCAGTGATCATTTTTAAAAAGCCAGGCTTGGAATTTTTGCTGGCTTCTCTTTTTATGCCATAAGGAGTGCTTTTTGTGAAAAACAAGTTGTTGTGCATTTCTCTTTCTCTCATTCAAATGATGAGACCTGTTTGAACAGTGAGCTGTCAAAACATTCAAAAGAGAACTGAATTTGTACCCAAACCTTGGATACCAAGTGTTACAAACTTGAGTCTTAGACAAGCTTGAACAGAAATACTGTGAAGATTTGGAGACATCTTGAGTGATGGTGCAGGTTAAGGTAGGAGTGGGTCAGTTCAAAGTTTGGCATCAAAGCTAATGACCACAGTATAAAACGAGGTAAAACTCAGAGGTTTCAGTGTAAAGTTGCCTCTGCTTGCTTCTTGGAATACTGTACAAGCATATCTTGAACTTCAAGACCTAATTCTTCTCACTTGCATGTTTCAAACTGGTGTATTTTCACTGACTTGAAAATAGTTTCTGTTAATTTGCAGCAGTTCAAGAAGAGAATCAGATATCAGATAATAAGATGGCTAACATGCCTTTCAGTGTCCTAAGTAAACTAGCAAAGTGCTTTTTCTTTAAGCCAAAGTCACCTATACAGTTATTAGACTGCTGCTTCTAATTCCAGTTTTAGGATTACCATGAAGATGGTATGGACACAAAGGATAGTCCATACCATCTTCATGGCAATTCTAAAACTGCTTCTGAGAAACAAGCCCTGCATACTTGCTCCAGCTTTATACGCCCTGCCCACTGAAAAAAAAATGTTTTTCCTCCACTCTTAGTGTGTACTCAAGAACATTCCCAGAATCGTAGTCTTGAATGCGCTTCTCAGGGCAGTACTGGGTATGTCTGGCACCACTGCAACAAGAGCCATACAACAGTTTTTCAGCATGTGGCGCCTGGGAAGTGGACTAAGTTTGTTTCTTAGGCTATCTACAGACATTCAAAAGCCCAAAGCAGAATCAAACTAAGTGTTGTGGTTTTCTGTAAGTGGCATAGTTTAGATCTGTAGCAAACAGAACACAAATTGACCCTTAGAGGGGGAGCACCAAGTCTTTGCCTGGGTTCTGCCATTTTTAAACCTGTATGTGTGTGATGAACTTCTTTATGGGTATAGACTGGTTTTCTGTACCGCACTTCTGTTCTGTTACAAGTATAGACCAGTTTCTGATTACTTATACTGATTAAAAGTGTAATGTCTGTACCTGGCCTTAGCCACAGTCAAATCATAACAGTGATGTTATGGTCATTTCTTCTGATGCTTGTTTTGTTGAGGTACTTCTGCTTCTAGTACAACTGCCTGGAAGATGACAATTCACTGTTGTAGAGAAATTTAGAGTTTTCAAAATTCATTTTTCAATTCACATTGGAGCAAAGGTCTCCCAAATATTTTCATGAAAAAAGAATTGTGTCAAAGGGTGTGTCTACACATTCAATTAACGTGCTTTAGGTAATATGCATTAAATCTGGTACCTCCATTGTGAAGAACTAGAAAAAGGCGCCTTTAGCCTGTTTTAATATGCATCAGCTAGAGAGCACTTTTTTGTGATGCTTTAATGTGCTTTAATAAGCTAATGTGCAGTAAAGTCCCTTATGTCTGTTTTTGGACTAAAAATGTATGTGGTACAGTGTTTTGAATGTGTGAGAAATCCAGTTTCAGTCCCCGTGGTGCTTCATGTAGATCAATGTTTCATTCAAAATCACATGCTCCTGGAATAAGGCAGCTGGCCTAATCAC